CAAATCAAATAAATGTCGTTGACTGTAAAAAGCTGTCTATCGAAGCATTAAAATGTTAATCACAAGCTTAAGTTTCCCTCAAACGTCAAACACTACATTAACATGGAGATAAGACAGATATCATGTCACCAGAATCAAGAATGACATTGAAAAAGTTAAATTGGCTCAAAATTTTTGTTGATCTGGGCATTAAAATGTTAATTACAAGATACAGAGTTAAGTTTTCCTCAAACTTCAAATACAGGACATTAACAATAGAGACTAGGACAGATACCATGCAATTTCAGTGAAGCAGAAATCAAGAATTTATAAAACTGGTAAAGTTCAATTGATTCTGCTGACTAATATTTTACTAGAAAAATCTTATTATCAACCCACATGGACATATTATTAAATAGGCAAAACTCCATTTACTTGAAAAATATTTAAGAAGTCATGACCAACCCCCAAATTTCACACTTGGGTTAAACTTCTACTTCAGACATACTAAATCTAAATCACTCAACTTTTATCAAGAAACTGAGAATACCTCTTGGACTGTGATAAACATCCTGATCATCAGGACTTAAATCCATATCGAGGATCTGTAAAAAAGTGATTAACAAAAATATTGATGTTAGGAAAGCAAAGATTAACAGAATACTAAACTTTAAATTAACAGCAATGAATATATTACCATTGCTTCAACATCAGAAAAATATGGCACATCATCGTCACTCTCACAAGAAAACTCTTCCTCATCAGATAAAGTACAATTTACAGCTTGATTCGGAATTGTCTGTCCTATGGAGTACAATTCTGCATGTATATCATCGCTTATCTGAACAGGAGATATACAATCTCCTTCCTGCTTACAGACGATAGCTTTCTTTTGTCTGTCATAATCACCGGAGTCGTCATTTTGATCACTGTTTTCTACTTGCTTCATCAAATTATTGTTAAGAGATTCGTTGATGATATCCTTGTTGCTTAAATGTTTTATATTAGCACCATTTGGACACTCACTACCACCTGTCTTCTTGAGTGCAACATGTGGGACATCACTACAAGGCAGTTCAAATCTAAGCCCGTCATCATTAAATTGATGGTTATGACCCATTTCTGATGGAAATCTTGATTCTTGGGGAGGCACATGTACTTTACTGGTGCTTCTTGGTTCGCATTTGACCATAACTCCAGCAGTAGCCTTTTCACCATGTGAGAAATCATTCACAGATGAGGTCATGGGATAATAAGCTTCATCAGATTTTGCATTAGTTATCAAAGAGATAGATGAGCATGGCATCCAAATGGGAAGAAAAACATCGTCATTGTTAGGAATCTCAGTGTCTTCAGTGTTGAGTGTGCAGCAAATAACTCCATTGCGCAGTTCTGGAAATATAGGATTCACAGTCAAAGCAGAAGATAACTTTTGAGCCTCCACACTCCAAACTTGTCTTCCGTCACCACAATCATATTGCTCGTTTTCACCTGAATCTCCAAGGTGTTCAGCGATAGACATATCAAGACATTCCTGTCCCTGGGGTGCAGCACTAGGAATATCAAGGCATTCCTGTCCATGGTATACAGCATTAGAAATATTAAGGCATTCTTGTGGAGCGACTGAAGCTTCTGATAGACCTAGACTGGGTACATCACTTCCATCAGGAAAATCCAACAAGAGTGAGCTTAAGTTCTCAATATAAGATTTATCAATGATGTCCTTCCCATCAGCATCAGCATCCATGAAAAGTTGCTCATCCTCAGAAGTGAAATTGAGCAACGAATTGGATAACTGTTCAAAATACTCTTCAGCGTTTGGAGCCAAAATGTTCCTTTCATCACCTGTTGTTTGATTTGAAGAAAACTTTTCAGCACAAGGAGAGAAATCAGTCATGATACCAGACATGGTTTGATCTTTTATTTCAGATTTTGAGGGGATATCAATGTCGTCCAAAATTAGAAGTTCATCTTCTCCATGCTGTTCATTATCTCCAAGGCAGACACCAGGGCAAGCAGATGCTGAAATGCTGTCAATGCTACTCAAAACTGGCATCTGAGTGATAGGAGAACAATAACCCAAACTCTGTAAAGCAGTTCCACAATCAGATAAAGATGAGTTAATCACCTGGCATGTAGATCCAGAACAGGCGTTTCCTTCTTTATCAACACTTTGACCAAACATGTTTTGGGGTTTTTCCACTACATTCAAAGATTGAAGTAAATTACAAGCTTGTAATTCTTGAGATGGTCCATATTCATTAATTGAAATGTGATCCCCAGTCAAAGAAAGATTTTCGTCAAATGGAGGACAAAGATTTTGAGGCTGATTGCCTTGACCAGGGGAAAATCTATGATGATCATTTAATCCTGTACAACATGCAGCAGCGGAAAGACCATCACCACATGAACCGCCTTCATTGACTCCAAGTTTTCCAAGCGAATGATCTATAGCTCCAAAATTTAGTTCTTGATTCCCAAAATACTTCGAAATTTGATCTCCGAGCAGGAAACCATTAGATGTAGGTCCATTTCCATTTCCAACATCACCATAACTCGATTCATCCAGAAATATCAAATCTATCGAGTCAAAAGATTCATTACATATTCTTTTTCGCATAGCATAATAGCATTTACGTACAGTTTCTGCTTTTCTCTTCCTTGAAATGCACTTTGCCTCTTTATTATTGTCAATCCTGATCAATTTTGATTGCGCCATTGGAGCAGATTGTTCAAACTCAATCATGCGAACTGATGCCTCAAAAGACACAACTGGGTCATACAGAAGAGTATGCCAACGATCTTGCAATTCTTGAACAGTAAATCTGTGAGAAAATTGCACTGCACCTTTTGCAAGGGATTCCAATGATGCACCAGCCTAAAGCAGAAGAAAAGGAACCACAAAATGAGCACTCAGAAAACAATCTTTTCAGAATAATCATGACTAATCATAAGAAACTACAAAATTTTGGGTGCAACACTTTCAATGATGTAGTGCATCCCTTTTAGCCAAATTCATTGCCATTCCGGGGCTTTATATAAAGGGAAATCAACAATGTAGTGGATTCCCTTCTATCAGCACATCAAGAATATCTATAAGACAAATGGCTCTCCAACCATAAGCCTTCTGCAACGACATAGCAAGAAATGTCGCACTTAATATGATGGGAAGCAGTGAAAAATCCCCATGGCCACCGTTCTGCTTTGGAAGTGCAAACTCTAGCCATAACTATACTCCTACTCCTACTACTACTACTACGCCTGAACTTCCCCATCTAAACTAAACTCCAACATCAGTTACTTCACCCCTTAGCACTGTAGCTGAAAGAATAAACTATCAGTAGTATATACAGGTATGCTTCAAGTAAAGCTTAATAGAAACGCAAACAATGCATGCAACTTTCAAGTCCCAAGGACAAACCACCAGAAGAAATGCAGCATAATAAAATTGGAGTTCAAAAAAAGGACCTCTCTTTCGAAAATCAAAAGCACAACTCAATTCAACACAATCCCAGCCGAATTCAGTTAAATAAAGTAAAAACAACCCAAAACAAGAAAAAAGAAAATTTTCTTCGTACTGAAAACACGAAAAATAATAGAAAAAAAAAAGAACAAGAAAGAAATAAAACAACAGCAACAGATTTCAATAAAGCAAATTTTCCTCAGTAAAGCAATTCTGAGAAGTCCCAAAAAAAACAGAAATTCTGAGACAGAGCACAAATATTTGTACATGTTATATTTGGATTCTAAACTCACCTCAACGGCGTTTTTAAGCAGAAGATCATCTTGGGGAAGCCAATGAGTTGCCACCGGAGCGAGGGCTCCCATGTCTGCCCCAACAAGACTTGCATAAAAAACTCTCTCTCTCTGTCTCAGTTATTCCCCCGGCGCCCGGGCGCCGCTTTCAGGTTGTTCTACTTCTATCTTTGTACCTCTTTGCTAATTTACCTTTTTCTTTCTTGTGAGTGTCTTGAACTTGTGAATTCTTTGTCTCCAGATTGTGTGAGAGTGTGACGGAGAAAAGGATTTTGGTTTTAAGAGTGGGCCACCGCTTCTGAAGAATTGTAGAAGTACAGTAGGAGTCCTAGAACTTTGTTAGTTTCTTGCTCTATTCGCCAGGAAAAGGGTTAATTTCACTTTATCCCTCAAACTATATATGAAATCTCACTTCCATCTCTAAACTTTAAAATGAAACGTTTAAATCCTTAAACTATGAAATTCGTCCCAATTAAGTAAAATCGTTGACGAAATTTAAAAAATCATCACTATTATTGGGGCATGAGAAACACGCATATGTAAGTGTTGAAAACCAAAATAACGAGAATACAAATATCATTTCGCCCTAAAATATCTAACAAACAAATAAACAAAGTTTAGGTCTATATATCTACAAACCAATTCGTTTATATGTAGAACCCCTCCCCCTTTATATGTAGTATAGATATTAGATTGCTTATTTTTATTTGTTTATTGTACATTTAGGGGTGAAATTACATTTATGGCCTTGTTATTTTGGTTTCTAATACTTGATAAGCACACTAAATGAGTGTGTTTTCGCACGCTCTAGAAACAATGATAGTTTTTTAGATTCCGTTAACGATTTTAGTTAATTAGGACAGATTTCATAGTTTAGGGACTTAATTGTTCCATTATAAAATGTATGAACTGAAGCGAAATTTCATCTATAATTTGAGGGGGCGAGATGGAATTAACCCAAAAAGGAAAAATGAAGAAACTTCCAAGATTGGACTTGGGCCTCCTTGTCCTTATGTTGAAATTGATGACTAATAAGCTTTGATTTTGAACCCGTTTGAATGGCAAGTTTTTAGAGTTCTTTTTTTTTTTTTTTTTTGGTAAGATACTATATCGATATATATAAAACAAGAAAATTAAAGAATGTGTTGAGATAATATTTTTAAAAAAAATTATTGTGAAAAGTTATACAATCTAAACAAGGACAAGCTATTCGTATTTTTACGTTTTTGAAGAAAGAAATGTAATTAAAAAAGAAGCGGAATATGTGTTTTGTGTCAAAAGTTTTGAAAAGAAACAATACAGAAATAGAGATCAAATGTATTTAAAAAAGAAATAGAGACCATCGCAACATAGAAATAGAGATCAAATGTATATATATAGTACATCAAACTGCTACTCAAGCAGGGCAAAAGTCGTAAGATCCGAGCTTCCACCTCCACTGTGAAGATTAGGCTGGGTAGGCTGAAAGCGTAATGCCAACACACGAGGATAGCCAAGGACCGGATTGTAGTCCCCTCCGCCGTTATCAACCAAGCCATAGTGTGGATCCTCTCCTCTAGCATCCTGCGTACCAAATTTTTTTTTTTTTTTTAAAAAAAAAATTTGTGACCGGCCTCCATCATTTTCACATACTCATCATTCAAAAAAAAAAAAAAAAAAAAAAAAAAGGAAAGAAGAAAAGAACAAGGCAGCTCACCAGTTCAAGCAGGAGATTTCTGTGTATTTCTTCAACATTCCTCACCTGCAATTGGCATGTTGCATGGTAAGGTAAATACCAATTTCATAAATGCATACTAAAAAAAAGAAAAAAGAAAACATTTCCAAGATTTTATATTTCAATCAAGAATACCTTTTTCTTGTGAGTCTCGATCTGGTTCCCAATTACCTTGTACTGATCATGCAGAGAAAAAGACTAATTTTAGAGATAAAAGAATAGTAGGTATCATGAACCCTCCAACGGAGGGCATTGAAAGGTGCAAATTTGTTTGAAGTTGGCATGAAAAAGCTACACTTCCTAGTATTTAATTAGGAAGTGATTAGATATGTTACTCAGGTTAATTAGGTCCAATATCAACTTGTGATATAGATTTAGAAAGGGAAAGACAGTGGATAGCATTTTGATTTGATCCAAGAAGCATTGGCCAATTGTAATGAAGGCCGCGAGTTTTACAAACCGTCTAAAATTCTGATTGAAGTAATGGAGAGGCATGTGTGATTCACATAGGTCTAATCTAATCAAATTCAGATGGAATTTTAAGATATTCTGCTTCTATTTTTATTGGTCAACATAATGTTTGAGGTATAGGGAAAAAGGTAGCCTTTACAAACTACTAGTGATAATTTCTCGTAGGAAGAAGTGAAAAAACGACATAGCTTTTCCTTTATTCTCAAAAGTTCTTTTAGGTTTTGATACGCAGAAACTACAAGAAATCTTGATACCCTAGATCTACGAAGCAAAATTCTACCTTCCTCTCCCGAATGGCCCTCAGAGAATTATCCACGTCTTCTATGAGAAAACCGAGCTCATCATAACTCAGATCATTCAAACTCTCCCCCATCCTCTGCCTGGTTTTTTTTTGGAAAAAAAATTACTCCGGCAAGAACATATTATTAAATTGAATATTCAAATATAAAGAAGCAAACAAACAAACAGAGAAGAACCTGATCTCCTTACGAAGATTTCTATTCACCTCCTTTAGCTTCTTCAATTGCTCTTGCATTTTCTGAGCCAAAAATTTGACAGAAAGCAGATTTCCAGACATAAAAAAGTAAGTAAAAAAGAAGAGAAAAAAAAAAAAAAAAAAAAGTGCAGGCAGGGAATAGAAAAATCAAGGACCTCGTGGTGGGAGCTCCAAAGATCAACCCCTACAGCCTTTTGATACTGATCAACCAACTGCTTTGTCCTGTAAACCAAAACAAAATATAATGTCTTTGCACATGCATCCCCAGTAGGGGCTAGCTAGTTAATTACCACACACAGTAAAAAAGAGCTCCCCGGACACGTACGTGGCTGTGGGACTGATGTATTCGTGAAGCTTCTGGGTACTGGAGACCATGATGATGGAAACTCTAGCATCGCACAGGACGGTGAGCTCATGAGCTTTCTTAAACAGCCCGTTTCTTCTCTTAGAGTAGGTCACTTGCCTGTTGGTTTGATTCTCTATCCTCTTGATCTGGATCTTCCCACGAGCCATTTTTTGCCCTCTTTCTAAAACTATTACTACCTCGATCTGCTCCTCCCCTTCCCCCTTCTATACGAGTATTTTCTTTTCTCTTCTTTAAGCCTAAGCCCTCTTTATAGAGTTTTAAATAGTCAGTTGAGTTATATGAATCTAGCCATCTACCAGTATGATTACTGTTCCTACTCCTGAAATGAAAGGAGATAAGCGCACATGGATTTTCTGAAATGAAAGGAGAGGTTGAGAATTGTTTAGGTCCATGGGTTACTAAAAATGGAAAGACTTACCAATTGCGCGAAAAAGTGTTGGCAGAAGTTGATAAAGTTGTTTAAGAATCAGTCACTTCTTAGTTATCTGTCACTGCCAATGCTTCAAGATTTTAAGACTCTTCTTGCTGTGATTGGGTCCCAGTCGTTGCTGAAATTTCCAATCCTTTTGCCTTCCATCTCGAAAGTTAGAGAGGAAGAAATACGAAAAACTCCGTCTTGTCTTCTTTTTTTTTTTTTTTTTTTTTTCCTCCTGTTACATAATCACAAGTTGTTCGGTTCTGCTTTGCTCAGACCATCTCTATTGACTGGCTTTGGTTAATTCGTTCTTTCCTTTGGTGTATTTGGCTCGCGCAGTGACTTCGTCCGCTAACTTGGGTCCCCAATTACTCGAGCAAAATCATTTTGTATATATGTATCAGTAACTGAAAATTATTTTCCTTCTTGTTCAGAATTCTTGTAAATTAATTTGTTTAGAGCAACAAAATACATGTAGAGGTAATGCCACTGATTTGTACTCTATTTAACTTCCATTTTACTTCCGACTTTCTTTAGTGGGAAAATTGTTCGAAACACTCGTCACATTTCGTCAAATGAATTTTTTCATCCATTACTTTTAAAATACTCTATTTATGTCTCTTACAAAATCAAATTGGCCAAATTTAGTCCCAAATTATATTTCTATCACGTGACCATTACATGGTCATCTTTTTAGGGGCATAAAAATCAGATCCCATATATAGTTAAACATTCACTCTATCCACTATTTTACCCATAAGAAATAGAATTTGACCTTTCGTACTTAAAATAATAAACAAATATAAATCACACAGCGTATTCAGGCTAAAAGGGGCTAAAAAAATTCAAGTTAAAACCAAATTTGATGGATTTTTGTTTGTAAGTGAGACGGATTGAACCTAATATTAACTAATTACAGTCCATCTACTTTTATCGTTCAATCCAACCCAATCATCCCTCCAAAATTTAGTGGATTTAATTTTATAGGAGACGTAGAATCAGCATTTTAAAACTGAGGAATGAAAAATATTATTTAATAAAATGTAAACTACGCTTTGAATGATTTTTCTGCTTTATTTATTTATGATAGAGTGAGACAACCTGATCACGGATGGGATGACCCCCGGGGGGGGGGGGTTCAACGGTAATTGACCCGAAAACCACATGGAAATATATTCAAGAAAACACAAATTCCAACTATAGAGGCCCAGGGATTATGTCCTGCGAATTTTCGATAGCCTTATACAACCTGGATTTGCGCGAAGGAGAAAACCCAATATTGGGTGGAATATGGTGTTGGGCTGCCCTCCTGAAATCACTGGACCCTGAGGAATAGTCAATAATGATCCACCAAAACAAAACTCCATAATAGCTTTCTTTCAGATATAAAATTGAAATGATGCCACTCGACGTCTCCACACTCCACAGGTCACATTTTTGTCTTCCTAGTTTTGAAATCTTGGCTCTTTTTGAACTAATTCGGAGATAATTTTTTAAAAAAAAAATCCTAGCAGAAATGCACAAAGTTACAGGCTCATCCAGAAAAGGCAAACGTAATTAAGAAGGTGCTCTGCCCAAAATGGTAAGCCAAGCACCCAAGATTGGCAATATTATTATAAATACTATGTCAATACAAATTAATTCAATTGGTAAGAATTGATTACTTTTTTATAATGATCGTGTGTTTGAATTTCTCTATCGATGTGAGGAATGTGTTGATGGACGAACTTTTGTAGGCGAATTCTAACACACCTTGACCTGTGGTGGTGATGGAAATTGAATCCATCCAAACTTTTTATTACCAAAAGAATTATTATGCATACTAATGGTATTTTTTATTCCTTTTCCCATTATGCCCATCCTTACGTTTGAGGAGCCAATTAATTTCTCCATGCTAGTTTGTTCTTTATGAGTATTAATATTATTGGTTGTTAATTTGCCATGCGCGCTGCTAATGATCTCATAACATTTTATAATTTTTATTTGACGATGGACGCTGCATGGCCAGTCACCCTTCACTGGCTTTAAATATTTGTTAATTGAAAGTTACTCTTTTGTTCTTTGTGTCTTTGACACGTTGTTCTTTGTATTTCAACAACCCTTTCGTTTCTCGTGAACTGTAGTATACTCAGTGGCGGATTTACACGGGGGGCACGGCCCCACTGTCTCGTTAAAATTTTATAATAGCGATAAAAATTTGATATAATCTCAAGTATGTTTCCTGAAGTTCTGTGTATCTATTGATTTACATGCTTTTATAGTTGCTTTTGATTTTATCTGTTGTTATAACTACCTTAGAAAGAGTTTTTTCAATTATGAATATAGTGAAGAATCAGTTACAAAATAAAATGGAAGACACTTGGATGAATAATTGTTTAGTTACTTAAATTGAGAAAAATATATTTCACGAAATTCAAAATGAAAAGGTATAAACAATTATCAAAATATGAAAACTCGTCCTAAGTAATTGTAAATGGTTTAGTTTGCTTTTTGAAATAAAATTATTATTATATTAATAATTTTGAATTTATCTTTTTTTGTTTTTCATAAAATACATGCATCATTTATATTTGTTGGTAAATATTTTTTTTCTTAAAAAACTAGAAAAAAAACTAAGTAAAAAGTTTTAGAGTTTCTTTTGCTCCCGCTGAATATTTTTTCTGCCTCCGCCACTTAGTATACTCGTTGATGCTATTGGTCAAAATTGTCGCATGTAATGTGGCGTATATTGTTTGACTCTATGCTGCTCTCCGTACACAGAAAATGAGAAATTTTACGTCAATCTTTGACAAATAGGATTTTGTTGATGGTATTGGTCAAAATTGTCCCAAAAATTACTTGAGACGCCCGTTGTTTATACGTTGCTTTGGTGCTCAAAAAGAGATATTTGTTGGTGCAAAATCAACAAGTACACGAGTCGTCTGCCTCGCAGCCATTTCAATCCATTAAAGTCAATGCTCCTTCAGTATCTCCTCAGCTCGGGCAAATAAAGAAAATGTGAAAATCTTTGATATATCTTTACACTCCGGCGCAACTACCAGGAGTCCAAAAAGCAACAAACTAAATTAAGTGATGAAGGAAGAATGTATAACAAAAAAGAAAAAAAAAAGAGATATAAAGAAATTTTTATAGGTATGCAGAATTTCAAACCCCTGATCTTTTACTGTGAAGGATAGAGGAGCCAACCGCACTTGGGATCCTCGGTAACATGTTTTCTATGTCAATCCAATGCCACCAATAGTTTCTGGTAAATGACCGCTGGTGAGAACGATATGATACAGCACAAAAATGACAATAGTTTTCAGAAAACTGGCATCATGCAGTGGATAAGGGATGATCTGGGAGGCTAGTGGGGAGAATGGGATCATCGTCCCGCAGAAGCATTTTGGTATTTAGAGCAGTGAAGACCAAAAGACTCAGGATCACCAGAACAGATAGCCCTGATAGAATGAGCATGATCACGTGTGTTACACCGCCTTCCACCTCTTGAGCGTATTCTGCTGAAGCTAACGCTAGAGAAGTTACCGGAAAAGAGTAAGCCCACCATGCGACGTCGTATCTTCTCATGGATTTCTTGAAAAGGAAGGGTCTGCAAATCTGTTATTTGGTTGGTAAAGATAACAAAACCCAAAAGGAAAAAAAAAAAAAAACAACTCTTTAATTAGTCAGATCAGTGTTAATGAAAAAAGGATCGAGTCCGATGCAGAAAAGTTAAGAGCATTTTCTGGTATTCACGTGCGATTCTTTCTACCACAAAAATGACCACAGAAATTGAAGATGAAAAAGAAATCCCATCCAATTTCAAGTCGTGCGTCTGGACGGTTTCTACTAATTTCTTTAGCTGCGGCGTGGTCAAAACTCTAAAGCCGCCCAAGATACGCAAGTCATCTGCTTCTACAGGACAAATTCTCTATACCGACCATCATAAATTACCATCATTAAGAACCAACAAACCAAGATTATGCGACATCGGACCCATGCACATGCACTGTCTATTTAACTCCAACCCACTCAGATTATGACTTTTCCAGGCAGGCCTTTATGGAAGATCGGTGGTAGCTAGGACTAGGAGAAGAAAAATTGTCTACTTTTTTCATGTCCATCACGGCTCCTACTAAATAACTCCAAGAAATATCCTACTTAATTAAGACTCCCAAAAACATATATATATCATCATCATTCATCACTATTTTAAGATCCTAGAGATCCATTTATTTACGCAACTTTAATTTACCAGTGATATGAACAGGAAGAGTGACAGAAAGAATAGCATCTTGGACGCAATATCGAAGCTTCCAGATATGGTGTCCCAAGCCAAGCTTGCCATGCTTGGTGCTGCAAAGAACAGGAAGAAAACGGGCCTTAACATTGCCGGCAGCCGATCGCACCCCGGTAACCTCTGATAAAGCGTTACAAATAGCACTAAATAATGAACCATCCCTAGTGAAAACAAGCAGACTGCAATTTCTTGCCATCCCATTTGAGCTGCAGCTCTTGCCCCAACCAAGTTCCCTATGACCGATATTTGGCTCGTCGGATTTGCTACCGCCGTCAAATACCTCTTTCCTTTGGTAAACCATTGGCCGTATATTTTGACGTCCAGCACGAAGACTGGAACCGCAAAAATCCACCAAAGGATAAGGTAGGAGACATTCTTGGGAGCTACAAAAGGAGAAGATTGAAGTAAGAGTAGCCATGATATCCATGGAGCAAAGAGATAATTTACTCCAATATGGTGCAAGAATTCTGCCTTGACCATGTTAAATCGGTATAAACACCGTAGGATATATAGGATGGAGAATAAAACTAGAATGAACAAGGCAAATGACCACACTATGATTGGTATAGTCGTCAAGATAACATGATTGGCTGGTTGAAGAAGGGTCTTCCATAGCAAGGCCTGACCACCTAAAGAGAGGCTTATTCTGAAGTAGCCAGCGTGGAATCTGGTTAGTAGTAATATCAGTGATTTTGAAACAATGGCGGCTGAGAGGTTAAAGCTCTGCGTCATTGCACTTGGAGAGATGGTGGCTCCATCCATCACATGTTCGATCTCAGATTGAGATTTTTGGCCTGCCATTAGGACGGTTTGTATGAGTTTTAGTATTACCCGAAATTTGGATTACAG